ATAGAGCCCTTCGATCTTTATTCGCCTGAATCAATCACTAGGATTAGAGGTAGAAAGCTGTGAAATGCCGAGAGTACTGATAACGTTTAAAATCCGGCAACTTTAGATGGTGTTTTTCGAAGAAAGTGCTTTCAAACATTAAGAATTGCTGTTTATAAAGCTCAGAATTTGTGTGTGACTCTGTTTACCCCCCCCTTGTGCTTATGAACTTTCTGTGAGCTCTAAGGGTAACACTGTTTGGCTATAAAAAATCATCATGCACACTTGTCTTTGCCACATGCTGCGAGGCTTCCCAGAAGGGGGAAGGTACGGGCTGTGGTCAGCTGCCCAGCTTAATAAACAGCTTTCAAATTTAAATTCTGAGTCGGTGGTCTATCTCGTTGAGCCAACCCATAACATTTGGAGGCCCGCAGCGAGATACCCGGCAGGGAGTAAACGGCTTTCAAATTTAAATTCTGAGTCGGTGGTCTATCTCGTTGAGCCAACCCATAACATTTGGAGGCCCCAGCGAGATACCCGGCAGGGAGGAGAGGGACCCCTTGTTTAGGGCTGGAGGCTCTCCCCCGGCAGGGAGGAGAGGGACCCCCTATTCAAGGCCGGAGGCTCTCCCCCTGGCAGGGGTGAGAGGGACCCCTTGTTTAGGGCAGGAGGCTCTCCCCCAGCAGGGAGGAGAGGGACCCCCTATTCAAGGCAGGAGGCTCTCCCCCAGTTGTCGCCGGGCACTCAGCGAGATACCCCACACCTGTGGAGAACGATTACCAAGGAGGCCTCCAGTCCACCCAAAACTTTCAATTCGGAAACCAAGCCACCTGGACTCTCGAGAGCGGTAAGGGACCGGTCGTTAAACAGGAATTGGGACGTCCCAAGGAAGGACCTATACGGAGGGCTGGACGCAGCGGTACTCCTGGTCCTGACCCGCGGCCACGACGGTGGCCGGGGTCCCTGGTTCGTGCGGCTGTAGGCTGCACTGGGTTTGTCTGTCTGGTATTTGTTTGTCTTGGTATTTGTTGTCAAAAAGTTGTCTGCTTCTGTGTACACCCTGCTGCAATGTTTTTGAAACTTTTCAGGACTTCAAGGAGCAAGCTGCAGGTTCCGGGCAACCTTAGGTTGCATTTGGCTGATTTATTTTGTCTCTGTTCTTTGTTGTTTTTGTCTTTGTCAAATGGGATAGGGTCAGTCATCTTTGTCGACCCCCTATCAGTCAGGCCCACTCCGGGTGAGTGGAAGGGGAGCTTGATCACCTCCCAGGAAGCTATAGAGCTCCCTCAGGAATTGGGAAATTGTTAGGAATTGGGAGAATTGTTTAAACTCTGAGTGAATGTCTGGTGAAAGTGTGTGAGTGTGGAGGGAGGGGGCCTGCCCTCTCCTCTCCTTTATGTGGCTCCACGACTTCGGTTACGGAGTCCGAGTGGGCCCCAACCTGCGGTTCCGCGATTCGTCATATGGCATAACGGTGACTCACCCCCATATGGAGGTGACCAGGCCCGGGGTTTATACGGGTGCACCTTAGCTACGACGAATCTAAGCTCCCAAGGGACGCGGCCATCTGCATGAGGATCTGTGAAAACAGGTCACCCCCTCCCTTGTCTGTCTCTCGCCACCGATCATCATGGGGTCGGGGCAAAGTTTGTTTGTGTGGGACTGGCCAAATTACTACAGAGAAGGGAGACTGGATACAGCTCCAGCCTGGGCTGGTCTATTAAAAAAGTGTAAATCATTACTGGTCTGTGTGAAGTAAGAGCTACTTTGGTTTATTCTGCTTTCTGTTGATACGCTTGGCTGAACGTTTGGGCTGGCCCCTTGGCAGTCTGCAAACAGTCTCTCGGCAGCTGCGAGAATTATTTTTCTCAGAGTCTTTTGCTCACTGTTAAGGAGAATTAGCCCACTTAGTTAATAAAGATTTCTGTCTATCAGCTGCTCTTACCTAGGTTGTAATTTACTGTATTAAACTGAAGTTCTAGGGTAAATTTAAAGGTTATAATGTTAATGCTTTTGATTTACAGCGATTCTGTGAATGGGAGTGGCCCACTTTCCAGGAAGGGTGGCCAGATGCAGGGTCTTTTGATCTGACCACTGCCTACCGGGTCCATTACGTCATACACGGCCGCCCAGGGCATCCTAATCAAATTCCTTATATTCAGGTTTGGGTTGACATATTGCCCAAGAAACCCCGGTAAATGAGGGCTTGCCTCCCAAGGAAAAATTGGGACAGAGACAGACAATTCTTTTGGCCGGGCCCCAGAAGGGAAAGGCTCCCCCGGTCCTTCAGGGAGAGAGGGGGAGAACCTGCAGGACCTTGCGACATCTGCCAGTCCTGCAGTTCCTATGTTGCCACTACGGCAGGCCAGCCCTCTAGATCTGGGGCTAGACAGGCAGCCCTCTGGGGAAGCAAGGTAGATCGAGACACAATCTCCTAGCTCCAGACCAGATTGGGGAGTGAATGAACAAAGAAGGGGGGCTGGATGCCTGAGCTGCCTGCTGTGGCCCTGAAAAAAGAAGCAGCAGCAGCAGCAAGAAAGTGGAGAACAGCAGAAATTTACCTGACACTAAAGCTGCCTCTCTGCTGCTGCCCAGTGAGAAATGAGTGTTTTACAACAAGCAGTACAAGACTTAGGCCTTTGGCTTGCAGGCTACAGCAGTTAAGCCAGAAGCCAGTGACTGGTACTAGCCTTCCTACAGCCCCAGGAATAGAGCAGCAAGCCTGAGATCTATGAAAGCTGCAGATAGAGCTAGTAAAAGCTCCCTGCTTGCAAATGTACTGAAAGGGTTCAGTACCTGTTGCTGCTGGAAGAGGAGGGGCTGATATCCCCTTCCAGTACACTCCCTTCAAAGAGGCCTGGTCGCTGTTCTGCCATAAAGGGGACTGGTGGGAAGACAAGGAAAGCAGGGCCCTGTAACTAATAAACAGAGTTAAGAAAAGGGCACTCTTCCTGGACCTGGAAGCCATCAGGACTTTGAAATTCTCCAAGAGAGGAGAAGTCTGACTCAAAGACTAGCTGAAACCTCATTGGGTTAGGAGGACCGGAGGCTGCATATTGAACTTATAGACTGCAATTTGCTAGGCAGAGGTCCAAGCCCAGTTGTATAGGGATTAAGCTACCTATGTACAGCAAAATAACTTTCTCCTGTGCCAGAATACATTTTAAGGAAATTGGACAAACTGTATTTGTGGCTAGAAAGAAAAAACTGGCCTATGTGTAAACTGTCCTGGAAAAAGACTATGTGGAATGAACCCAAAAAGTAAAAGGTGTCTAGCTGCCGAGAGGGCAGTTGCCCAGGTGGGCAAAGAAGAATACCCATTAAATTTTGGTCTCTATTGAGAGATAGTTGACAGTTAGCAACCTGTATACTGTCTTACAGGCCTGTGTGACCATGCCCATGTCAGGGGTGGCACAAAACCTCAACTATAGGAAACTGGGGAAGGTCTGTCTAGAACAGAGGGGGTTAATAAAGTGGTGAATACTAGCCCTCTGTTATAGGAATTACAGACCCTGTGAGGTCCTGTGACATATAAGACCCTGTAGGGAAATAAAGCTCCTTTAGTCTGTTCTGAAAGAACAAATAAAAGACAGATTAAAGGCTGTGTTTCCCTCCAGGCAACCCAACTGGAACCCCAATACTGAGAGGGGAAAGGAGGCTCTCGATCGGTATCGCCAGACTCTATTAGGGGGCATCTGAGCTGCTGCTTGGAGACCCACAAACCTCTCTAAGGTGACAGAGACAGTCCAGGGGCCTAACCCTGATGCCCTGGAAAGTCGGAGGGTTGTCCAAGTCGGCCCCAAATATTAGGAAAAAATGACAGAAGTTAGAAGGCTTTGAGGGGAAATCAATCTCTAAGTTGGTTGAGGTGGCCCAGAAGGTTTTTGACAATCTGAAGGACCCAATGGCAGGTTTAAACACCTGGATGGACAAGGTCCTCCTGGCCCTAAACGAGGAAAA